TGTTTTTTTAATATATCTTTATTGATTTCAGAGAGAGGAAAGGAGAGGGAGAGAGAGAGATAGAAACATCAATGATGAGAGAGTCATTGATCGAGCCCACAACCTGGGCATGTGCCCTGACCAGGAATCGAGCCCCGATCGCCTGGATCCTAGGTCGATGCTGAACCCTTGAGCCACGCCCAGCCGGGCTCATCAAATTATTTTCATGGTTGCAGGATGGCTGCCATAGCTCCAGCCATCATGACCATGGTCAAGGCAGGAAGAAGAGGGATGGGCAGAAGTGTAGACTCTCCTTTTAATCCCCTCCCTTTAACAGGAAACCAAAGCTTCCCCAGACACCCCTCAGCAGATTTCCCAGTCCGAACTGCATCGCATGACCACTCATAGTTATAAAAGAATTTGACAAATCAAGGTTTGGCTTTTTAGCTTCTATAATGGGAGCTGTCATTGGTGAAGAGTTTGAGAGTGGCTCCAGTTTGCCAGCAATGCCTGCCCTACTAGGAATAATCACTGTTAACATTTTAATGTTTATCCTTCTAGTCTTTGTGGCTGTATTATCTCTCTATATTTAGAAGGCCCTTGCCCCTTACAGATACGACTCCTGGAATTATATTTGTGCTAATCCTGCTGCTGATTCTGATTTCTCTCTCACAGGGTTAAAGACCTTTCTTGCTTTTCAAGTATGGTATGGAGCAGCATTCGAGGAAAGCAAGTGCCTGCAGGAGCCTATCCTGAAATCTTCTCTTCCTGGCTTGATGCAGAAATTACAGGATCCTACCAGCCCCAGAATATCTGGGCAGTTCGAAGCATGGATGGGTAGACAGTCTCCCCATGGTTTTGTGTTCTGGTGAGAAACAAGAATTTCAGCTCCAGATGACAGTTTCACCTTTTGTGTTCTGAAAATCTTTGCCCTTCCAGAATTTTGTGGAAATAACAGATCTCAGTGCAATGGCATGAGCAAGATGATCTGGCTGCTATTCTTTTCTTATGTTCATTGGTGCGTGGCTCCAAGGGTGCCTCTCCAGCACCTACCACAGGCCTGACACAGCACAACGCTCAGTAAATGATTTGCCACCTGACTGGCTTACCCTTTCACAAAGACTATTCCTGCTTTTAAAGAAATGGTCAATAAAACTGTAACGACAGTCCCAGCGGACAAATAAAGTGCATAGACACATAGGCTACTTTGGCACAAATGCTTGAGCGTTATCCGGGTAAGTAGGAGTGGGTGACGGAGCAGAGCTCTAGCATTTCGTGAAGGGTTGAAGCCCTTGCTGACAACAGCCTTTGGAAAGTGTTTTGGTTTCCTGGGAACCAACATGTACCTTCCTTTCAGGAACGTTTTTCTGACTTGGCCAGATTTACCCTGTTCACAAAGGTATCGACGTCCCACCTTGCTCTCCACCCCCCATAAAATCTTGAGTGCCAGGGAGAGAAGGCGATGAGAAGTTAAAATGTAGAAATCCTCCCTCAGTGGCCTCTCTAGTACCTCCCTATTCAGTGTGCTCCGTGTGGTCTGTGGATCAGCATCACCTCGTTAGAAAAGCAGGATCTCAGACCCCACCCCAGATCTGCAGACCCAGAGCTTGCATGTTAACGAGATCCCCAGGGAAGTTGTGTTGTCCCTCTGAATGAACGTTCTAGAATATGCTGGAATATTCTTCTGTTTGCCATGCTGATAGCCAGGAAGGAAACATCTTGAGTTTGGGACTTTTACCTGCCATTCTCTCTTCATAGGACACCTTTCCTGAAAACTTAACTGATTCCTGCCCTCACTTTGAGTCTCAGTTTAGTCAGCACCCCCACCAGGAACTAGGCGCTGAATCTGAAGTAGGATTAGGTGTCACCTCTGTGTGTCCCCTAAGGCTTCATGCTTTTTAGCCCTGTATTAGAATTTCTCTTTTTCTAGGGTGTCTCCAACTTAGACTTCACGAGTGCAGAGAATTATATTTAGCAGAGCCTCCATAAATAGGGTGCATAAATGGTTATTCTCCATTTTGAAGATGAGGAAACTGAAACTCAGAAGTGAAGTAACTTTCTCAGCACCATACAGCCGTAGGTGGCTGATCTGGGTTTTGAGCTCCTGACCATGGAGTTCCTTTTCCCAACCCCTTGACCCTCTCCTTTTCTTCCTTTGACCCCAGAAATTCTTAGTTTGTGGATGCAGAGAAAAGACTAAATACTTTGAGTCAACTTACTACTTAGGATTGAATTAGCTCAGTAATGATCATGGGTAAGACAGTTTGATAACATGAAACTTGGTTGATGGGAGCTTAATCTTTGTTATTTGTGGCAGCTACAACTTGGGAGGGAAGCTGAGACGTGCGTTCATTTATGATCGGTTCGTCCAGGTGTTTAGCACAGAGGTGACAGTTGTAAGGGACACTGAAGGAAGACACGGCCTGGCTCTCAACCACAGCCAGCTGTGGCAGGTTGATTGCAGCGGCGGCCTCAAGAATGGTCCTCCACCTCTCCATACCCCATCCCTGGGGCTTTGTAACCACTCCCTGCTCTGACTCTGGCTGGACCTTGAGACTTTTTTGGCCAATGCAGTTTTAGCAAACGAGTCAAGGACAGAGGCTTGCACACCGGGCGTGCGCTCCTTCTTGCCCTTTGCGTGGCTGGTCTTGCTTTCGCGCTCCTGCCTCCACCATGAGAGCACACCAGGCCGAGCTGCTGGAGGGAGGGGAGGAACAAATGGAGGAGGGATAAGCTGCCTTTGTAGCGGCCGAGGCTGTCCTTACCCAGTTTGTCGCTCACTGTAGTCTCACGGATGAGCCCAGCCACCATCAGCACCTGCCTCGCCGCGGACTCGCGATCAACAATCAGTATGATGATCTTAAGGCAGAGTTTCAGGACTGGTTTGCTGTTAAGCATTTCTGTGGCAATTGCTAACGGATACAGCAACCGACGAACTGCCAACATTTTGCATTTGATTGCAACCATTTTGAGTGTACAAAGAGGGGTTGGGTCTTCATTTCCTCTTAGCCACCAGGCTGTATAAATCTATATGCTTGAATAACTCTTTCTGACAGAAGCCTTGCACAAGGCTTTGTCTCTACCACAGTGTTACGTGTTGCTCTAAGATACAGGTGCCCTAAGGAACCCCATGTTTCTGAGGTAATTGAATAAAGCTGTGACCTCCACAATAGGAATTTTTCTTACTATAGCATCAAGCTACACTTGGTGAGTTCCTTTACTGCTGTGGTCTCATGTGCCTCCACTGGAGGAAGAGACTCAGCATAAAAACTGCATGGTTCTCAAATTCCATAAATATGAGATGAAATAACTTTGGCCTCTTATAATTCAAATAATTTACGGTGTCTAAAAAATACAGATCCACTCTCTCAAGTGATATTTATTGACCACCTACAATGTGCCTTTCCCCCTGAACATCAAAATAGTTTAAAAAAAATAGAGAAACCGAAAAGTAAGGATATTAGAACCCAAAACATTATTCTAAATTTAAATATTTCACTTATCCCCAAACCAGAATTTATTAAAATTTGCCTTTCTTGGTTTGAATGGAAGCAAACTCATCAATAATATTTTCAAAATCAAGTTCTAGAAAAAAATTATTAGAACTATATTTTAAAAGTATTGTAAGTTCATTATGACTCAGCATGGCACAGATCTTGAATTTGAATATTTTATGTATCATGGATTTT